GACCTATAGCCAACATCATACTCAATGGGCAAAAATTAAGGTCTTTTCCACCAAGATCAGGAACAAGACAAGACTGTCCACTTTCACCACGTCTATTCAACATAGTATAGGAATTTTTAGCCACAGAGATCAGACAAGAAAAGGAAATAAAAGGCATCCAAATAGGAAAGGAGGAAACAAAACTGTCATTGTTTGTAGATGACATGATAGTGTACATAGCGAATCTTTCAGCTGTTTTTTAGCAACCAAGTTAGTCTAGTTCAGGAACTGGAGAGTCACTTGGCTGATAATAATTGCCATTTGCAGGTAGCTTATTGACATTTGCTTTTCTGCTACTTCCCCCTTCTTTTCTTCCCTCACCCACTCTTTCTTTCTCCCCTTTCTGAATGTGAACTTCTAAATAACAGTTCTGACAGCCATGAAAGCAATCAGTTTTGGAAATTATAGGTGACGTTTCCACTTGCTATTACTTTAATAAATATAAGTCCTTCACTAGTGTTGCTGTAAGTAATCATGCAATTTTCAATTCAAGACATTAATTGTAAGACACTCCTTTGCACTACTAAGAAGCAACAAATCATCCTCAGTTAAACTAGGACACATCGAATAAAAAGATTATTTTAAATTCATTCAAATGTTAAGTAAATCTTTTAGACTTATTTAAACAAATTTTATTACATGTCATACTCATGTGTAGTTCACAATGAAAACCCATGCAGAATACAATTTTTTTAAAACACAGAGTGCAGCTCTAGGTTATGAGCTGTGATGTCCCTGTCTGCCCCCACCTCAGCCTCTGCACCACTGCCGGCACCAGTGACATGGCTGGTGATACAACCCTGCCCAGAGTGGGACTTTTGTCTTTAGGATTTTCCCCTAATGACTGACACCAATTTCACAAGTTTTGAAACTGGCATTTTATCTTAGCAAACACATACACACTCAATGAAAGGTTTTCAGACAATAAACAGGATGTATGACGGTCCCTAAAATAGTCAGGGTTAATAGTGTGTGTAGTAATGCCTGTGTTTTTCAAATGAAGGGTTACAGTTAGATTCCAACAAGATTGCTGCACGCACAGGCAATGTCATGTTTTTAATTATTATTATTTTTATTGTTGTTCAAATACAGTTGTTTCCGCTCCCCCCCAAGTTTCCCCCTCCCCCAGCCATTCCCACTTCCCACCCTTGTTCCTAACGCCCTTTGGTTTGGTCCATGTGTCTTTTATAGATGTTCCTGAAAATGCTGCCCTCTTTTTAAAGTCATGACTCCTAGCTTTACCAGCAATCATATAACACCATCATTCATTCCTTGTTCATAAGTGTTCAAATGTGAAAAATGATGCACCCTGGTTGAGCTGAAATACGGTAATGTTAATGCTAATAGCTAGCCTTTCATGAGTGACTGCTTTGTGTCAAGTACTACTTATAGTCTTCATACACATTATATTGTCAAATCATTAACATAACCCTATGAAGTAGGTGTTATTTAAATGTATAGTTACAAATTAAACAATTTGTTGCAAGGCAGACATCTAGTAAGGGGATGATCTGGTGTTTAAAACTGGTTCTCTGTCATTCCACAGCTCATATTTTTTTCCATAGGTATTTGGTCATAAATATTTAAACAGAAAATACCAAAGGAGGGGTCAGTCAATCATTTGGAAAAATAATCTCCCCATCAGCAATTTTGCTTGAATAACAGAGCAAAGAGCAATCATGTGAACAAATCTCAGGTTTATATATTTGTGAATTATCGCAGAACTTTCAGAAAAGGAGAGAGATAAAATATTGTCCATGTGAGGAACAGCAAGAACTGCTCTATCAGCCAGAAGCAGCGCTGACTGTGGAAAAGACATTTTCTGGAACATGCCATATGTCAAAAATAACCACTTAATTTTTCCCAAATAAGCAAAATCTCTGCAATTTTCAAAGAGAGGAAAAGTTATCTATACTTAATGTGTACAAAAGAGTAAATTTGAGAAAAGGAAAGTACATGTTTCATTAGCATTTGTTTTATTTTCATCAATTAAATGTTCTGTTCACCAATCCATGGGCCTGTGTCTCACCAAACTCAGAAACTGGTATGAACATCATACACCTTTAGCTTAGGTTTATTAATGTTAAGCTATCTTTTATACTTTGAACCAAAACAGTTAACAAAAACCATTAAATTGATTCTTCTGTGAAAATATCTCTCCCTATCTTCATAAGACACAGAGTTTTTCCATAGCTATGTTAATGTGCATGTAGAGACTTCACTCCCTCAGGAATAACTTTGCTGGCAGACATTAAACAAAGCAACTGGGCTAAGTACCATGATCTCTGTGTTTGCATTTTTTGAAGAAAACATAGGCAAAAAAACTTGACAATGGTTGTGGCAATGATTTTGGGGATATGATACAAAAAGCACAGGCAACAAAAGAAAAAATACCAGGAGGGACTACGTCAAACTGAAAAGCTTCTGCACAGCAAAGGAAATCACCAACAAAATGAAGAGGCAACCTACAGAACTGGAGAATATATCAGTGAACCATGTATGTGGTAAAGAATTAATATCTAAAATCCACAGGGAGCAAAATAAGTATCTCACACAGGTGTCTGTGCTCCCATGTTTACTGCAGGATTACTCATAATGGCCTAGTAGGGAAGCAGCCCAAGTGTTCATCAGGGTAGGAATAAAGAAAATGTCATGCACATTACTATTTAATATAGGCACATATAAAATGTATATGTATACCTACACAAACATAAACACGGAGGGATATTGTTCAGCCATAAAGAGAAGGAAATTCTACCATTCATGACGACATGGATGAATCTGGAAGACATTATGCTAAGTGAAATAAGCCAGATGGAGAAAGACAACACTGCATGATCTCACTCATAATGCGGAATCTAAAAAACAAAATGAAATAAAGTAGAAGTCACAGGAACAGAGAAGAAAGGTGGCAGCCAGGGCCTGGAGTTCCGGGAACACTGAGTAACATTGGTCAAAGCTTACAGCACTTTCAGTCACAGGATGAATAAGTTCTGGGGGTATAATGTACAGCATGGTGACTATAGTTATGAATACTGTATTATATGCTTAAAGTTTGCTAAGAGAGTAAATCTCACGCATTCCTACCACACAACACAAAAATTTAACTAGTGTTACTTTGATCACGGTAATCATTTTATAATGGGTATATATATATATATCAAATTGTCACATTGTACACTTTAAATAGTTTTATTTGTTCATTATACCTCAATCGATCTGAAAAAATTAGTTTAAAAACAAACAATGCATGACTGCTGTTGATTTTTTCCCCAAAAATATGTTCAAAGAGAAAGAAGTTTCTGTTAAGCTGTGTACACTGTGTGTGTAGTAATGTATGCATTTTAAGAGAAACAAAACTGAACCATACGAGGTCACTTTTTCAATAGAAAAGAAAATATTGAAGAAATTATAAAAAATCAAACAATAGGAAAAACTTGGTACTATCAAGTATCCTAATTTTAAGCACTCCATTGCCATGTTAATAACAACATTTTATTTAAGGGACATCTAAATTGTATTGAGATAATTTAGGGTAAACATTCTGAATGGCAGAGTTTAATCTTCCATTAGTTAACAAATTGTATTTTGGGCTTTATGCTTACTTAATGATGTTGACTCTCCCTTATAGGTTAACTCATTTAGTTGGCTAATAGAGATACAAATATAGCAAATATGTAAAGCTTAATAAGTAGCCATCAGTAATGAGGAATATCAGAAACTCAGAGTAAACACCAGTTAGCCTAATCTAATTAGGCTAATTGTACATTGTAAATGCAAGCAAGGGCATTGTTCTATAACAACCTCAGCTTTATGAATAAACTATAAGTTTTCTGAGAATATAAGCTCTAAAAGATTCATTGTTAAGTAATGTGTCCTAAGGTATTCATAAATTCTTTTCTGGGCTTTTGCCTATAAATGTCTCTATATTTTCAAAGAATATATTTCAAGTGTTCTAGTACACAGAGGAAGTCTACACTTTTCCATAGTATGTAACAGGGAAAACGCTTTAGAGAAAACCTTTTTTTCCCTCATTTTGTGTAAGTGCATTGCATTTTTAATGTAGGCTAGTCTCCATCCCCCAAATCTCTCCAAGTTGGATGACAGTTACACTTGTTTTTGTGTATAAACATATCAAACATTTAAACCTTATGTTAAATGTAGTTTTGTTACCAAGCTGAGTCCATGGAACAAGAGCAATGGCATCGCCCTGAAGCTTTTTGGAAATGCAGGTTCTCAGGTACCACTCTAGACCTACTGTGTGATCATCTCTTTTATGATCCCCGGGGATTAATTCTAATGTGCAGAAAGTTTGAGAGCCACTAACTTAGGACACTTCACTGATTGACCTAACTTTCTACAAATTAACTTTAAACAACTAGTATATAAGTATTCCACATGTGTTCTTTATTTAGCAATATTCAAGATTTAGCATGTAACCAAATCACCAAGGGAACTTGTTTGAAAACACAGACTTTCAAGTTTTCCCTCAGAGTTTAAAATTCAGTAGGTCAGAACTCTTTCCCCCAAGCAAGTCTCCTGAAAAGAATTAAAGTTAATGTTTGGCATTAAGTGTCTCTAGTTCCATTCATAGAACATGATCAGACCATCCTTTCTTTTTTCTCCCCACTCCCCAGAAGAATACCATTATTTCAGCCAATAGATAACAAAGTGATTTACTAGAGACCTGCCCCCCGTTGGAATGAACTACTTCTTGTTCTAGAAAATAAGATCAATATGTTCTGCAAAGTACTTGTAACTCTCCGTAGGTCTCAAACAAATGCACCAGGAGCCATCAGATAATCAATGGGAGAAACAAACCTGTGGTACCCCGATTACAGACATTCAAATTCAAACTGTAAAAACCTATGCAGAACAAACAAAAACACTTCTGTGGGTAGAATTCAGCCCATGCTGGGCTGATCTCTGGCATCCTATACTAGCATGTTTTTTTTCTAGCTAATTTTTTGGTCACAGATATACCATAGAGCATATTTTTGTTACTAATTTGCTTGCATGGTTCACTGTGGGACTTTTGAGAACTTGGTTGTAGCTTGGGTTTTACTTGCAGCATCAAAACATGGTGATATACTAGGTGGGTTAGCTGCATAAGCCTTCTGATGCCAGGGGGATATTTTGAAAGACATGGGTCAATAAACCAGAGCTATAAGCTACGGGTTTGCACAGCCCTATTTTTTTCTAACCCATTTCATCATGGAGCCATACAGAAGATGGTCAGTTGGCACACTTTTATATTACACCGTACACCATTTTCGGAGGAAAAAACAGCCCGAAGTTTTGTGGAGTACCTGTCTTCATTTCACTTGTTGCTGCTTGTTATGTATAAGTGTACAGTGCTAATGTACTTTGGTGCATTGAATCTGCATGATTATAAAAGATTTAAGATGTCCAGAAACCTCACTGCTTCCAGATGTCACCTAGAGGAATCTTTACACTATAACTTCTAAAATGAAAAGCAGAGCTGTCCACATGTCCACATGTACTTTTATTTTAATTACCGATACAACAAACACAACGACAGGACAAGGCCATGACCTCAATAATACTGATAACATTCCTTGACAAGCTGGCTTATAATTTACATACTGTCTTTATATGGAGTGAGTTTAAATATTATCTTAAGATATACTGTAAAACACGAATCTTAAATATATACCAGTTGCAAACATCATGTGCTTAGTTACTATTTTTTTCTTGTTATTCAAGTGAAACGACTTAAAGTTCCTCAAAATCATGTCCATTCGTGTTCATTGTTTCAGGGTGCATGACTCGTCCCATGAATAGGATTGTACCTGATGGGGTTGGAAGTGAACGAAAGAGGAAATAAACAACAAACAAAGGTATTTAAATTTAAAAAGGGTTATTTGTTTCTCTTGTTATTTACAACTAGCAATATTCTAAAAGTAAAAATATATGTAGTACTTTCATTTTTTAAAAAATCATTTGAATATTAGAAATCCAATAAACAACATGGAAAAGTGTTCTCAATTTTAAATTATTTCCTTTTAACCCATTAAAAAAGTTCTTTTCTCCTAACAGACTCACCTGTCCTCCTGTTCCTGATAAGAAAGAAAAATGGATGGTCCACAATGACTTGAGGATACAGCACCGCCATCCTACTAATTGCAATCATTCCTACAGCGCAGAGACAAAGTAATTACATGTCTGTGGCTATGCAGGGACTAATGAATAATTTCTCTAAACCATCTATTATTTAACACAAAGGCAATGCTTTATAAGAAACATGATTTTTAAAAACTTAAGGAGGAAAATTATAAAGGTGCTAATATTTGTACTGAACTTTAAACACTCACACCCCCCACATGCAGCACATAGTTTCCTCTCTCTACAACCCCCCACCCCCAAATAACAGGATGATTTATTCTGCCTCTTACAAAATTTTTACTCTCAGTCTCAGATAAATACTTACATCTTACTAAAATGATCTTTGAATTAAAAGGAGAAGAAAAAGACCCTCTAAAAAAGGAATAGTTGTTTTATATTCTCAAATCATTATTTCTTGTGTTTGAAACAGGTATTTTTACACAGAAATTCCCAAGCTTCTAGCAAGTGATCGGAACAGCAGTGATTAAATGGAAGGGATAGCAGTGAGAGACTCCACGTGTTCCTATAGCTGGGAAACTGAATTCCCTGAGGTCCTTATTATAAATGATTGTTCTATACTTGCTGTGGGGTGATTCGATCATCATAAAAAAGTCACTATTAAATTATGTAAGTGTTTGGCTTTCTTGATGCCTGAGACTACTGTGTTTCTATTCCCTCTTGAAAATACTGTTCTAACTGGTACTATTCTTTTAATGAACAAATTTATGCAAAGATAGAAATAATGCATGCAGATATAAGGTGTTACATTTTATAAGGATGGTGATGGTGGAAACTTGACTAAAATTTGATGATAAAACTGAAACAAATCCAATCAAATAAAAGGAGGAAAAAACCAATAGAAAAATCATTCTCAATTAATTAGGGAAGTCAAGATGATCGAAATAATTAAGGACATTTTCCACTTTGTTTTGTACGCATGGTTTATATCAACTTTCTTGAACTATTTATTTTTAATTATTATTTTATTGGTATTATTATTTAAAATTATTACATGCTATCATATACTCTTGTTTATATATATATTTTTTAAATCAAAACTTTTCTTAGCAGCACAATTTACAATAGCTAAGTGCTGGAAGCAACCTAAGTGCCCATCAGTAAATGAGTGGATCAAAAAACTATGGTACATTTACACAATGGGATTCTGTGCAGTGGAAAGAAAGAAGGAGCTTATACCCTTTGCAACAGCATGGATGGACCTGGAGAGCATTATGCTAAGTGAAACAAGCTAGGCAGTGAGGGACAAATACCATATGATCTCACCTTTAACTGGAACATAATCAATGAAAGAAAAAGCAAACAAAATATAACCAGAGTCATTGAAATTAAGCACAATCTAACAATAGCCAGAGGGGAGGGTGGAGGGGACAATGGGGAGAAGGGTTTTCAGGAACTACTATAAAGGACACATGGACAAAACCATGGGGGAGGGTGGAAGCAAGGGAGGGAGGTGGGTTTGGAGGGGGTGGGGGGAAGGTGGGGAGAATATACAGATAACTATAATTGAACAACAATAAAATAATTTAAATTAAAAAAATGGCAAAGTCTTTATAATTAAAAAATAGAATTGAATCAAAACTTTTCACTAAACAAAGTTATAAACTAACTTCTACAAGGAATTAAGTAGCAAGAAAAATATTCAAATAGGCATCAGGGAGATATTTGGAATATAGAAGCAGGCAGCACAGCAGGAAAATCTATTCTACAGAGCTTACAACGTCTTCCTGCCTCTCATTAGTGAGCAAACAGGAGATGGGAGTTACTGGCATGGGGCATGGGAGTGAATGCATGCTTCATTCACAGCCCATTTAGAAACCCTCGCTCATTCATTCAGCATTAGCTAGACTTCTAAGTTACAGCAAAGCCACAGCAGTCAGATTATTGGCTTGATTCTAAAAATGGCCCCCACCCCTCACCCAAGATTGCTTCAAAAATACAGATCTAGAAACGGTGAGAAGGTTTTAGAAAGCAACTTGGCACCTGAGGTGGCAGCGGCCTCGGAGCCTTCTTCATTAACCTCGACGAAGGACTTGTGAATTGCTTTGGAAAGGAAAATCTCTTTGCTCTCTGCAAAAAAAGAGATAAAAGAAGCATTTCTTCAGTAAGAAAGATAGAAATGCATTTTACCATTTAGTTAAAAGGATTTGAAAACTAGGAGACATAATAAACTAATATAGGATATAAACCATAAGAAATAATGTTGTAAGATTACATTTATGATGTGAGAGAACCATCGGAGATGTGTATTCTGATTAGTCCTCATTTTATATTCTCTTGCCTTTTCCCCCTTTATTTGTATTGACAATATTCCCATTGTTTATTTTTAAATTGCCATAAAAAGTGAAAAGTGGTTTTGTTTCAATAGCAATTTCAAATTAGTTCATAAGTCAATATAAAAACATTTGGCCCTCTAATTTGAAATTTAAAAACATAAAATGAAAACAGGTAGAAATCTAGATATAACTAGAATAAGAAATTTTAAAAAATGTGATCTAATTACAATGGTAACGTTAAATATTATTGGCAAAGAAAAACATAAAAAGTTTTTAAGTTGTAGAAATGTAAATATATAAAAAAGTTACTTTGCATTTCAGTTCATTGGTTTATCTGAGGATTACTCTAAAGTCAGAGGAAATAATACATTTCAGTATTAGAAAGACTATTTTTCTCTTTGAATAATCTTCCTATTAATGTTTACTTTTAAATTAATGGCTATTATTTGTTGAACTGTGTTCTCTCAAAATTCTTATGTTGAGTTTCTAACCTCCAAAACTTCAGCATGGCTATATTTAGAGATAGACCCTTAAGATAAAATGAGGTCATTGCAGTGGTTGTTAAGCTAATATGACCAGAGCCCTTCCAAGACTATGTGCAATGGTTAATTTTATATACCGACTTGGCTTGGCCATGGTGGCCAAACATATTCTAGATATTTTTATGAAATGTTTTCTAGATAAGATTAACATTGAAATGGGTGGTGGACTTTGAGTAAGGCAAACTACCCTTATAATGTGGGCAGACCTCATCCCATTAGCTATAGGCCTTATACTGACCTCCTCAGTGCAAGAAGGAATTCTGCCAGTTTACTTCCTTTGGACTTGAATTAAAAATTTTCTCTGGGTCTTCAGTCTTTCCATCTACCCTTTAGATTTTGGATTTTCAAAGTCATTACACTGTGTGAGCTAATTCCTTAAAATAACTCTTTTGCGCTCTCTCTTTAACTTTCTCTCTCTTCTTCACCTTCCTTTCTCTCTCTCTCCATAGATAGACGGACACATACACACATCATACATATGTACACATGCCACCTACACATGCATACATACATGATAGATAGACATAGAGATAAAGATAGAGATTTTTCCTGTTGATTGTGTTTCCCTGGAAAACCTGACAACATGTGAAGCTGCAGGAGGAGGAAAGCCACCTACAAGCCAAGGAAATGGGACTCAGAAGAAACCATCCCTGAAGAGACCTTCATCTCAGAATTCCAGGCTCCAGGACTGTGAGAAAATAAATCTCCACTGCTCAAGCTACTCAGCCATGGTACTTCATTACAGCAGCACTAGCGAACTATACGAGATAATAGGTTTCAATCTTGGGTTTCCAATTTTCCCCCAAGATTAAACAAAACAAACAAATAATGCCTCAAGTACTAAAATTTAAAAATAGTACAAGGAAGCAAGATAAGTACACCAACAATGAAGTATCAGAAACAGAAATTAGATAAAAATCCCACTTGCTATAGCAACAGGAAAAATAAAGTTCCAAGGAGTAAACCTAACCAAGGAGGTAAAAGACCTGTATTCAGAAAACTACACAACAATGAGGAAATAAATTAAGGAGTACACAGATAAATGGAAGTATATAGCACATTCATGGATTGGAAGAATTAACATCATCAAAATGTCCATACTATCCAAAGCAATCTACAGATTCAGTGCAATCCCTATTAAAGTACCAATGACATATTTCACAGATATAGAACAAACATTTCAAAAATTTATGTGGAACCATAAATGACTCTAAATAGCTTCAGCAATTTTGAGAAAGAAAAACAAAGTATGAGGGATCACAATACCTGATATCAAACTATATTACAAGGCCACTGTAATCAAAACAGTATGGTACTGGCATAAGAACAGACACATAGATCAATGGAACAGAATAGAGAGCCAAGAAATAAATCCGAGTCTCTATGGTCAATTAATATTTGACAAAAGGGGAAGAAACATAAAATAGAGTAAAAATAGCTTTTTTAACAAATGGTGTTGGGAGATCTGGACAGCTACATGCAAAAAAAAAAAAAAGAAACACGACCACCAACTTACACCTTACACAAAAATAAACTCAAGTGGAGAGTAATGGTGGGGAGGAATGGGGATAACTGTAACTGAACAAAAATATGGACAATTAAAAAATAACTAACCAAACTCACCTATTAACATAGAGGTAAAAATTTTTTAAGTCAGAAAATTAAACACAGCAAGATATACAAATACATTTTTTAGTGAGTTTCGAGGGACCTCACACTGTGCCATGTCACTGCAGTTGAGAACAACTGCACTGTCTGGAGTTCACATTCGCGCTTTCTCTGGGATGACCTCAGTGCCCTCCTGAAAACCCTCTACCCTTCTGCTGCCTGCTCTGCCTTCCACCTCACCATCAGTGTATCGCACACCTGCTCAGTATGCAGCATGGGGACCTCCAGGAGGCTGCCTCTGCTTCATTCCTTTAGCATTCCCCACTCCATACACTCTGCCCCAGTTTATTTGAACTGCTACAGCCTCACTTGCCACTTTACCACTTCTGTGTCTTTGCTTCCACAGAGACTCTTTAACCTTTGTTGTACAGTAAGACACCTGATCTAGTTTCAGAGTTCAGCTTCGAGACCTACCATGCTGCTTTTGCTTTCCTCTGATTCCTACCCCCCACTAAAGTAGAACTGACCACTCTTTCCCACTCATCCCAGGATCTAATTCTATTGAGGGAAGCCTTTACAATATATCATATTTTTATTGATCCCTTTCTCTTCCCAGAGTGTCCACTTCTTTCAAGCAAGGATTGTGTCATTGCCCCTTTTGTCCTTGGGTTCTGGCATTTAGTAGGCCTAATAAATGAACTGCCTTAAAAAGAGGAGTTTCCTGGTAATGTGTAATTTTCCAATATTTCACCCAATAAACAAAAATTTACTAATTGTTGAGTGAACGGGGTCAGCTATGGCCTATCATAAGTCTTTTGGTGTTGTCCATCTGTGAGTCTCATGACCATGATTCTGTTCACAATTATAGCTATACAGCTTTTTTTCTAATCCATAAAACATATGACACTCATCCAGAATAGATGCTCCAGGAAACCTGATGGAGAACACCAGCAGAGAGGGAAAGAATACAAAGACCACACACACTAAAATATTTAAAGATTTAATTGAGTAGAAGAGCAAAGGGGATGGCATCCGAGAGACCAGTGTCATCATACATATTTCAAAGACAGCGAAAGAAAGATCCATCCAATGTCCTGCCTCCCTGGGGTGATTAAACAATGCATGATGGACAGCAAAGGTCTGCAAGTGTAAACGAGACCTCAGGATACTTGACTTTCAGAAAAACGGTACTCCTTTGAGTATACCAGTAGGAGAAAATATAACAAGTGAAAAATCACATCACAGGTACTGAGGGGGAAAAAGAAAATGACTTTTTTTCCTCTTGGGACAAATCTCAAGCAGCCACATTCAAATAAAATGTATGCTGACGGTGGTTTAAGCAAGAATCTGTCTGCTGTCACCAGGTTTGAGAAGGAGATCAGGTCACGCAGGGATACAAGCAAGTGAACTGCTTCCCAAGCTTGCCCTCCCATATTGCTCATTGCCATGTGATGCTGTCAGTCAGGTACCTTTCCTGCTGAGCCGTACCTGTACCCCTCGAGGGCCTGGCCCTTGCCTGTCCTATTCATCTTCTGTCAACGATTCCTTGCACACTCCCAGGCACCAAGTGCGCACTCAGATAGTTGATGAATCAGAATGTGAGGGGAATTAAAGAGATCTGTTTTCACAATGCTGAGCTCACTGTATTGGTTAAAGTTAACTCTTCTCTACAAAAATAAATTAATTAATTTATAAATCAAAGGCGAAAGGAGCTATCAAAAAAATTCCATACACTGGCCCCAAGCAGTCTTCTCCTTCTGGTCACAGCAGACACTGCTGCCAAGTGACTGGTCTACTCTCTTCTGGGCCACGTAGAGCCAGGCTGCTCACGTGGACGAGATGGGAGCTGGGCCAGCCAACTCTAGGTTCCCCAGAGAAGAGCTGGGCAATAATTCAAGCTGTTCTAAAGCAAGCAGGGCAAAACACTTAGGCATTCATTCAGTCATTGAGCAAATATTCATCAAGTGCCCTCTTTGTATGAGGCATTGTGCAGGGCACCCAAGGCTCCAAGGATCTGTGATGAACATAACGCTGGCGGCAGGGCCATTCTGTGAGTGGAAGCCGCCACTCCCTTTGTGGCACTGTTCCTAAACACAGGCAGCCCAAACAGACTTCTGCGTCACCAAGGGCATGCTTAAAATAATAAAATGAAGAGAGTTCCATTAACAGCACCAAAAGCTAAATATTTAGTTGCTAAAATATTTTTAGCTTTAACTCCATCCATGAACTTTAGAAAGGTTTCTAGGTTTGAGCTCCTTAAAGGCAGGAATAGTGTTTGTTTTACTGAATAGGTTTTGTTTAGACAGGCAAATATTCCTTCCTTCCTTCATTCATTCACTCACTCATTCATTCATTCATTTATTCACGTACTAAGCACCTCCTATGCACTGAACATTGTTAATGAATGCACTGGGTATACCATGGTGAACTAAACAGCTCCCTCCTTATGAGGGAAGGCAAACATTAAATGACAAGAACAATTAAAAAGCAAATCAATAAAAGACCACAATTTCAGGGTGTAAGAAATAAGATTAGCTGATGTGTTGGCTGGACTAGGGCAAGGAAGAAGAGCTGCGTTACATAGGGCATTAGAAAAGGTACCTCTGAGAAGGTCCATCTGTGTTTACATGTAAACACTACAACT